CAACAAAGACAAACAAGGTTGCCTATTATTCTAGGTTGCCTACCAAAATTTTAATTGGAAGACATTCCAAATGAGCTACTCTAGTTTAGTATTGCCATTCCTATTTTGCATTAATGGAAAGTATGACTGCACAAAGTGAAAAATACATGAAACAAAAGGGATCCATTTCCTGGAAAATCTCTTCTTCATGTCACTGTTCACATCAGCTGTTTTGCTCTAAAAATACCTACAAATTATTAAGTAATCAAAAAGTTGACAGTGTCTGATCCTTCTCTTTTCATCAGTAATTAAGAGCCTGGCTCTCAATTTCACACTGCATGCTCAAAGTGTTTGAATCCTTTTATGAAGCACCTTCACAGAATTCAGAGTTTAAACCAACTATAATTATCCTTGGGAGGGGGAAAAAATAAGATGAATTTAAGAAGTAAGAATGCTCTTCTAATTTAGCGAAGTCTGAGTTTTAAGACAAGGAATCACGTGTGAGCTCCATATGACTGCTAAATATGCCAAATTAAAGATGCCAGAGAGATCTAATTGACACTGCAAACTAGCTGTAGTGTACAGTCATTATGCCAGTTCAATTGAAGCCATTTAAAGGGAAGATAAAACAGAGTGGGATGGTGTATGAAGGCCATTTTAACAGCGTGACAGAAGAGTGTGATCCTGCATTTTCCTATGCTGTGGGAAGCACACCGTTTCTTTTAAACGTAGTAAACAGAAGCTGCAACTGTTCACCTTATGTTCCCATCTTTGGAAAAGGCTGAGGCGTGACGTTGTGCCTGTCTCAGTGGTGAAAGCACAGCTTCAGAAGTGGCCCAGAGTCACCCTGGGGGTCTGCTGCAATGTCCTGAGCACTGCTGACACTGACCCCGGGGAGCTCTGTCACACAGCAGCAGCAGCACGGCTCTGCAAACAGAATCGTCTGCTGCCCTACTGGCCAAGGGACCTGGTGAGGAGACCGTGTAGAAAAACTGCCTCAGGAAGGTCAAGGACTTTGGGATACTGTGTGCTAGCCCAGTCTGTTCTTCACAGATATCTGCTAGATAAAATGCCTCAGGGAACATAGACCCTTCCTGCTTTAAAAACCTTTGTGAAGCTACAGAAAAGGAAGAACAATAAAGACACAAAATAAGTGGAAGGTAAATTAGTCATCATACAAATATCTGCCTTTTCCAGAGGGATTTTGGCTAGTATAATGACCACTAAGAAATTGCACTTATAGATTTAAAAATTTAAAAAAAAAAATAAATTAAAAATTAAATAAAAATCAGATTTCCCTGATGGCCCCTGATCGTTTTAAGCTGTACTTCTCAATCTGCCAGTTCCCACCTAGGATATCACTCACCTGTTATGACAAGGACCTGCCAGCCCTCCCAGAAGACTGAAGAGCAAAGAAAATGAAAAGGCAACAGAACTACAGAATTGACTAATAATATTTTAAACACACACACACACACAAACAGGGGATATCATAATTCTGTGGGTAATCTGTTTACTGGTTTGGGCTGCTTTCTATACCTAGCAGATCTCATGTAAAACAAGCATTTTACTGGTGATGATACTCTTGTATGAAGTGAACAGACTAAACTATTTATGTTCAACTGCTGAAAGCACTCCAGAAATGGATGTCAATGTCAGAAACCTTATTAGGTTTCAGAAGAGGTAGGAAAGCTTCAGCCTAATCACAAGATATGAGGTCTTCAGGCTTTTGAGAATGACATCTGAAGGGCATTGAGATTGTTTTCTATAAAAGGAAAGGGCAAATTTCCAGTACATATATAATCACTGGTAGCATTTATGTTGTCATCCTCTCTAAAGCAATAACAAAGTGCACAAATGGTGGATGATTAGAGAGGTCAGTCAAGTGCCCCATTCAGCTGTAATTGTAGAGTTTTCAAAAATCCTTTTGACATCAGAAAATATCATATGTTTTTTTAACCCTGCTTTTTGCTATGATTAGTTAATTCATGCAAAATCAGTGCAGAAACAGAATGGCAAATTAAAAGCTGTAGAACACAAATGTCATTTTGAAGTAGTGGTAAGTAATCAGCAAAATCCATTCACTTTAAAATTACTGCTACCTGCCAACATTTAACCCCACATGCACAGGACCTCAGCAAATTTTTGTTTAAATTATTTACCACCTTGCAGGTCTCGAAAGTCTTTTGAAAGAAGTGCTGCCCCATGTACACTTTTGCTGCAATCAATATTCTCTCTTTCCCTGGTCTACCTAGAGCACTTTCCAAGATTTTCCCATCTCACAAAAAAACCTGAACACACTGTTTTACTTAATTAACATTGATTTTGAACTATCATGCCTCATAAAGTCTGACAATCTTCCTGCTAAAGAAACGATGCTTACTCTCTAGTAGTATTTGGAAATAAATTATATTTTCCACTTCATCATTTTTGTGCCTGGATCTTAAAAGAGAGGTTTTGAGTAATAAACTGTCATACACTTTCTAGTCTTGAAGTAAATTTTCATTAGAGAAGATATAAATTATATAAAAAATATAAAATATAATCTTCCACAAACCAAATAGGAGTTCTCATTTCATTAATATTCCTCAAAACAGGGAAATATTCCAATTACTTATAGTTACTTAAAAGTGGAAGAATCTTTCATTCCAGGTGTGATTAGAGTTTTCAATCCAGGAACAAGGAAACCAAACCACATGACATCATCCATCACACCAGGTGAAACTCCTCATTATATATACATTTTCTTGCTTCAGAAGAGTGGGAAACTGAAATAGAAGAAATACCTGGCAGGAGGGATGTGGAACTGGGAAAGCAAATGGAGAGTCCTCTGCTGACTCACCAGTGTGAAGGAAAAATAAAAGGAAAACAGTCTGATGATGAAAACCTTAAATTTTATGTCACTTCTGTAATTCCAGACCATAAGAAATGGAGCTTTGGGCAGGTTAGAAAAATTTCTCTGTAGTACAGTCCTGCTGACACATCAGTAACACATTCAGAGCTCAGTGTGAATGATTTGTCCTGTGAAGTTTATTACATAATAGAAAAAAAACGATGATAAACATATTAGGTTGTAACTTTGACAAGAAAATGTGCTTTCAGTGCACCTAAATTTTAGCACTGGGCTTCTGTCATTGATCAGGGAGAATGAGGTAGTTCAACTGATCCCCAGACAAACATTTGTAGCTTCTTAAGTGTTGTGATGACACTTAATGTTCGCATCATTTCAGTTCTTCAGCTAATGGTTGTTTGCCTGCCATCAACAACCATTAGGATGGAGTCATAAGCTCTTTGGGAGAGTTAATATTGCTGCCTTGTTTTTTATCTTATTTTATTTTAGGACACCTTTTTTTCCAAGAGCTTTATTTTTCCATTTAGGGTTTCTACAGAAGTTCAGGGTAGGAAAAGGCTTTAAATGTTAATGGTTTGCCTACTGAAGGCTTTGCAAAGAAAATTGTGAATAGTTTCACTGTGCAGTGCATCATAACACCAGCTTGTTTGGGTTTTCTCACTTTTTTTACCATGCATGAGGTCAGGGGAAACGCCTCACGTACAAAAACACCAGTGGAAGAAAGTGAACTGAAGATTTTTGCTGTGATCACTGAAATACATAGCAGAAGTCATACCTCATCAGAGGAAGCAAAAATAACCTTTAGGAAATTATTCAGATCTCCCCAAAATTCTTCCATGTACAATTCTACTTTTCAGTTAGTGAAAACATTATTTTTTCCTTATATAATAATCATTACACTTCTGCATGAGATGTTTTACATGTGTTATTCACAAAAAAGGAAAACTGAAAAGCCCACTGGGACAACCAGGTACAGCAAGCTACGTCTGGGTTGATCTTAGTTTGACTGCAGCTCAAATCCATTCTTTCAAAGTAGAAAGGAAAAAATAGCTTTCAGTATTTCAGCATTTTCTGTAAACACATCGGAATGTAGGTACATGCATCTCACAATAGCCAACAGGAATGCTTTGCAGTATGCAACTAAAGCAAGTTCTCTTAGAATCACACACAAGATCCTTGTGTTCTTTAACAAGGTACACCATTAAAAAGCAGTCTAGCAGTTTGTCTGGACCCTAATATCTATTCTAATTGCATACAGCATAGTAGCTAGTAACCCTTTTCTCAGTGTGTCAACTGTTCTTTCCCCTGTGCATTTAAAAAAAAAAAAAAGCGAGTAGGTCACAAAAAAAGGGGTGGTTCTTGCAGATTTCTCTGAGCCTTTGTTATTGCTTCTCCTTCATACAAACACTTCTGATAGTCTCCAAGTCCTCTTGTTTCTGCATTATACAATCTCCTTTTCAAAATAAATGGAAAACTGCAATATTTTATTTAGCATGGGCAATCACTGGCTCTAAAAACCATTTCATTGGGGGGGTTTTTTGTTTGTTTTATTGTGGGGGTTTTTGTTGTTGTTTTGGGTTTGGTTTTTTGGGGTTTTGGGGTTTTTTTTTGTTTGTCTGGGGTTCTTTGCTTTGCTTTGTTTTGGGTTTTTTTGATGATTTTTCATCTCTCCAAAGCTACTGCTACAGTTTATAGTCTTTGATTAGCTCATGGTTATGAATGAAAAACCACCTGGAACACAGCAATGTTTCAAACATTGTTTATCAGGCATTTGCCAATGACACAAGAACTGCAGGTGAAAGGGAAATTCAAATACATTATTTTTCATGCCTGTGCTTTCAAGCTGTTTGCCTTGTAGAAAAAATAGATGTCCTAAAGCTGATAAATATGACTGACACTGTTAAATACAGAGTGACTTGAGATATTTTCTTTCAGGTTTGCAGTAGATGTGACCTCAGCAGGTAGTAGCTATCAAGCAGCTGTTTCCTCAGATCCTTGCTTTTCACTGTATTTCTCTGCAGGTTCATGGGTCTCCTGTCACCACAAGTTACTCTTAAGTTGTTCACTCTGTATCCTACACATCCTCAGTGTATTGAGATAGAGCTAAGTACCACTGAGGTGTGAAACAAAGGAAATCTGAGTCCCAATATTTCACCTTTTCTTTTCGCAGCCGGACCCTGCGGGCAGAGACATCTCCATCCGACCAATCCTGGAGCACTGCGAAAACACCCACATGACCATTTGGCTTGGGATTGTCTATGCTTACAAAGGGCTGCTGATGGTAAGCACAGCTTCTTCTACACAGCACTGACTTCAAGCTGCTCTTTACTGATGGGAATGAACGGAATTATATTTGTTTTCCTGATGGCTGGGAGTGAGTAAAAACTGCTTTGAGTACAACTTCCATAATCAGACCTGTTCTAGTGTTCATTAGACAGTAATATGTGGATATATGCATGCGTGGAATAAATGATATCAGGAGCATTTAAGCAGAATATTATGGATATACCACAAACTGAGAAATTCAGTACTGAAAAGATGTGTCTATCAATGAGACAACTTTGTAAATAAAGAAGTCAAATCATCCAAATTCCTGAAGGTTCTCCTAAAAGATCGAACTATGTTGTCCGAGATGTTTGCCTCTTAGTTGCTAATGTATTTGAGGAATAGTCATGAGATACAAGATTAATCTGGGGCCTGAATGAAAGCTTTTGTCACTGAGGCCAATCTCCGTAAAAAAATGTAGTAACTAAAACAGATCTCAGGAACCAGGGACCCTGAGGCTGGATAGTTTAAAAAAAAAAAAAAAAAAAAAAAGAAACTGTATAGGTAACCATTAGTGATTAAAAGCTCCTGAGCCTGAAAGTTTTGAAAACATCTGATATGAACATCACTGACCAGCAGAACACCTACCTAGAGTTGAGCCCCATCTGGATTCTAAGCCTGACAGACATTAGTCTACACTGCCTGAAGGGGTCAATCTGTTCTGTGCGTTTGGAGCATGCTGGTTCATTAGGACACCGGGGAAAGATTGGATCAGCTGCTTCCACTTGGCATGGTTGGTGCTGCTGCCCAGAGGGGGCTGCTGGTGCCTGGAGTCCTCTTCTTCCCTCTCCCCTATGAATGACTGCTCTGATGATCCCTGCTGCTTTTCATGCTGCTTTTTTCAGGCTGAAAAGTCTTTAAATATCCAATATGAGGTTCGATATGAGGGAGGGATGAGAAATTTTGTTTCTGTAAACTCTAAACAGTTGTTTTGTGGTCAGACCACTCTGCTGGGGTGAACCTTCAAGCAAGGAGGCACCAGCATCAAGTGTCTCCAGGTGAGAGCTCTGATCCTTGAGCTACTAGCCAAAAGGAAGCCTTCTCAGCTTCATTTAAAGAAAAAAGAAATTTAAAATAGGCAACTTTAGGTGTAGATGCCTCCTTTTCAGGGAATGTCCAAGTAGGAAATAAGGAGCTAGGACATATGTGTTCTCTCCAAAGGGATCGGGAATTAGGAGAGATTCCACACCTCATCATGTCTTACTGGTTGGTCACCTTGGGGTGGCTCTGGATGCACATTCACCTTGGCATGTAGCACAGCATCAAGGAATTTGTGTCCTGAAGGGTGCCACAAGCTGGGAGCCATGGCATTGACCAGCACTGGGGCCACAGTAAAATTCAAACAACTAGTTGGGGGTGGGGTATGTTTGGATTTTTTTTTTTTTTTTTTTTAATAACTTCAACAATGTTTTCAGTTCAAATATTTTAAATATATATTCTCAGGCAACTTTCTCTGAGGTTTCAAGTTTGAGTGGTGTTAGACAGTAGCCAAACTGCTTGGGTTCTCACTAGTCTTTTGCCCTAGATTATTTTGTCAGAATGTATGTTAGGCTGTTTTCTGCAAGATATGTGACTCTCTTTAAGTCTGCAAGTGTCATTTGCAAACTTATTTTGCAAATGCCATTACATTATTAGACAATAAAGTGTGCATATATGTGCATATATGCATATGTAAAATACTCAATTCACTATTGAATTTCTTGGTTTGTGGTCTATCCATAATATTCAGCTTATGTGCTATTAATATCTTATTTATTTTACATATGCCATTACTCACTAATTTCAGGCACTGTTTCATAACCACCAGTGAAACACACACTTTTTATTACTCCAGTGCCCTCTTAACACACAAATCGCTACATATTAAAGAGGAAGATACTCATCTGGATCATTTAAATAATTGCTGTGATGAGTGAATAAGTGATATGAGCACAACAGAATTGATGCATTTTATCTCATCACTAAAGATGTTCTGTACACCACACATAGTTTGCCTTCAGAACAAAAAACCAGAACCTCTCCTGTTACTGTATCATTATATGAAGGTTTAGCTAATACAAATGTCTGTGATTTTTAATAATAAAACACATATCTAATTAAACATGCTATATACAAAAGAGCTAGTATTGCTAATTACAGTACAATGCAATATTTAAGATGACATGGCTTTACATGGGCCAAAACTTACTGTGACCTCTTGTCTCAAAATGGGAGTATAAAAAATGGGGTTAACCTACAAAGTTCCTTTCTTTTTTGTCTTGAAGCAACAGCAATACTGTCCATTCTGATGCATGATGCAGTGGATGGATCACTCAGGGTAGGGCTGAGCACAGAAGGGCAGGGAAGGCAAGGAATGGCAAAATAAGGGAAGGCATTGCTTAACAGGATACACTGGTTCCCTCTTCATTAAAGTTAGCAAACTCTAAAAGTCAGATTCACAATTCTTCAATTGCCTCTGCAGGGATGTGAGGAAATGCTTACTCTGCATGAAGGCTTCTCAGTTATTACCTTCAGATTCCTCAGGTGACAAGAGAATAACAGGAAAATTACCATCCTAAATTCTGCCTTTACCATATTATTAATCTTCATAATGACCAATGTGTTAGTCTTCTCCAATTTCTACATACCTAGAGGATTCACTGTTTTCTCCATCTCAAGCTCAGCTCTGAAAAGGCTGCATACAAGTTCAGGGTCTGTCTATGTGTACATGTTGACCATCACAGAATTACAGAATCAATTAGGCTGAAAATTCTTCTGTGATCGAGTCCAACCTATGCCTGAACACCAGCATGTCAATGAGTCAGTTGCAGTATTCTGATTTTTGATGAGGCAGACATAGTTGAGAAGCACCTTTCTTTCATATATTCTAAAGGATGATAGAAAACACACCATCTTAAACTTGCTGGTGGTGCATTATTAGGGAGTGCACTAACATCTTTCTGAGGGGTATGAGTTATTTGTCTCATCTCAGCCAGAACAATGCCAGAATGGACTCCTAGAATTCTTTGCTTATTAATCACACACACATTAGTCTTGTCTACTGTTTGATTCCTCTCTTCCTGAAAAGGCTTGGAGTTATCATTAGACTCAAGGTGTACATATGTTGGAAGTTTCATTGTGTCCCTGACATCCTATTACAGGTACCTGTTATTCAGCTGCTGAGAAACAGGCTTTTGAGGCAAAACTATATTTTGAGCTTAACTGTTGCTCTCTGTGTGAAATTCTATTTTTGCCCTGTGTTATTTGAGGGGAATTTAAGCCGTAACTAATAATACTGACCACTTCTCATACACTGTTTTTAATGTGTTGATCTCGGCTAACCTTGCCAAGAATGCAAATATCAGTGTTTCATGTCTGAGATGAGAAAAAAAATAATGCATATTCATCATGGGACTTGATAAATGTCACTAAGAATAAGAAATTTATTTTCTTCTAACTATTCATAGTCCAGAATTTCACTATAGTTGATATACCACTCAACACAACTCTGTAATTGATTTAGAAGCCAAAGAAAATATTAATTCAACTAAAATAGATCCTTGGGATAATGTTCAATCTTAATTCAAAGTCTGAACGAATCCACTGCTTCCTAAGGCTCTCTAATTGCTAAGCTGAATTTGTCTTACTTCCAAGCCTTGAATTTTGGTGGGTCTTGCACATATGTTATCTATCCCGCTTACCGTAAAATGACCTGATGTCCTTATTTCTAGGCAAATTTCTTGCATTCAGCCAAATTTCTATCATTTCTCTAATAATCTTTCTGTGAGTTGTCTACCATACTTACCCTCTGCTTCCTCTGCATCATTTTCAGCCATGTTATTATCTCCTCCAAGTAAATGTACATATCTGGGACAGCTTAAGCTAGAAATTTTTTTTAAATCTCCCTTTTTAAGTAGCTTCTCATTAATAGTTATATGTTGAGATCCACCACATGGTTTTCAATCAGTTTAAATTTGTTGCATTGATTTTATTTCTGTATTTAAATAATGATACTGTGCAGTATTAAGACAAACACTGCTGGGAAATCCATGTATTCTGCATGAATGTAATTACCTTTATTCAGTCTTGCAAACTCATTTTAAAAAAATAATAGCAATTTGAATTATATTGCTATCCCTTTTTTTTCCCCCCCACTTATTGGCTGAGTTCATGTGTCAGCCGTTTCATTAATTTGCTTAGGGTAGAAATTACGGTAATAGCTCTGTAATCACTGGGGGTGTTCCACTTTGTCTTTTCCCATATGGCCTCTTTGTATCTTAAGTGGAGCTTTGCCAGAATTCCAATAAATATCAACGATTAAGCCCAGCAGTCCAGGCAACTTCTAAATCAATTCGTAAAACTACTGCATGTAGGTTATGGGATCTCTGTGATTACAACAGCTTGTCTTGACAGAGTTTTCAAGAGCTCTCTCTTACTGCTGGAATAAGCTGCACTTCACTGTTTTGGCAAGATGTGAATGGACTATTCCATCTCTACGTAAATCAAGGACAAAACCCCTTGTTAAGCATATCTTATCATGCATCATTGCTATTGAATTTGTCATCTCCCAAGGAATGAATCATTATTACAATTCATTTTTCTCAACTTGCATTTTTATGAATCCTTATGAATTCTGTTAATGCTGCTAACCATTCATTTACTACTATACATTACCTCTCCACTATCTCTATTTTAGATCTTCCATTCAAAATCATTATTACGAATTTCCACTTTTCAACTTTTGTTACATTCTGCCCAGTCTTTGGCCAATTTTATTGCTTCTTTGTTTTACATTCTACAACAACCAAAACAATTTTTAAGGTAAGAATAGCCTTTTTACACATGTGCAGCTTAGGACAGATAATTTACAGCACATACACAAACATCTTTCGATTGCTTTGTAAATATACCTGTTGCTACCCCTTCTCCCTCTCCAATGGCTTCCTTTGCTTTGCTAGCTAATACATTAACATTACT